CCAGAGGGCGGAGAGTGGGGAATGTCTGTCCAACAAACAAAATATCACTTGAACATTTGCAAGCTGTTACAATGGAAGCTAAAATATTTGAAACAGAGCTGTTATGTTAATGTAGCAGTGCTATCGTTCACAAAAAAGGCTAAAATATTCCAGTTGCATTTTCTTCTCCCAAGTCTCCCCATACCATCTTCAATATCCTAATACATCTCTGACATTTGACATTACCACACATCCTCCTCTTTGTTAAATAACTCCCAATGAGTTCTTTGCAAAGTATTATGATTGTGGGAAATAGAAATTTCAAGCCTCAGAGCCTTTTTCTAAAGATGGGTAGTATTAAAAAATTCCACCTGACAACTTCCTTCTTATTTGAGGTGAGCCAAGCTAGCTCTGCTGTGTCTAGCAATTGCTTTCCAGTTGATGGACAAAAAATGTATATGTCAAAAAAAAAAAAAAATCCCATCTGAAAAACCACAGAAGCCAATGAGATCCTGGGAAACTACTTTTCACAAGAATTCTATTGTTCACATTGCATCTTCGTGCAACAAGACCACATGCTGAGGTCAGAGGTTTCATGTGCACAAGGAAATCAGAAACTCTCCTATGAAACAAAAGCCTGAAGAGTCACAGCTCTGGAAAGTTATGCACTCAAGAGATATTCTGGGTCTTAAATTAATTCAGAAGATTTTACCCACACTTTACAGACATAGACCTAGAATGCATCAAGACTGCTCATATGGCAGATCTTGGGCTAGTACCAGTTTTGGTGGAGGGATGAGTTACTTATGGAAGAAAATACTCTTTTCCATCATAAATTATTCTCATGGACTTCTCAGAGTCATGGAATATTAGCACCAGGTGAAAAGGCAACAATGACTGCACAAATTATTCATACAAAGACTCTGATATTAAACTAGACATATTTAAAGACTGTCAGTGAGAAAGTTTATTGATCAGTAAGTGGAACAATTCATAAGGAAATGCTGCCTACTGATGTCTATTTACTGCACTGCATGTAAGTGATATGATCAGCTCAGATTAAGGAAGGTGCATTGACACAGCAGAATACACAGGCTCTCCATACCTCACTTTTCAGCCTCAGCTTGGGAGCATGAAGATTTCAGTCCCATAAACATGCAGTGCCTCCAAAAACCTATTTCTTATCCTGGTCAAAGAGGCAAAGGCACTGACAAAGCCACATTTTATCGACTACTGAAAGATATCTTTCCCCCAAAGACTACAATCCACAGTCCTCCAACTTTTTCTTAGACAAACTGTTGAGAGTTTAGCCAGGCAGATCCTTTAACACAAGAGGCAGTCTGCAAGCACTAGAAGACATACACTGTTAACTCAAAGTCCTAAGAATATATCCTTTCATTATTCTAATAGAAGATTAAATCTGTGTGGCATTTTCTGGAAACTAACAGATGATTTTATTTCCAAGGGATGCATACTGTTATTTTCTACCATTATCACTTGAGGAAAATCTGCCACTTGCAGCATAAGAGAACATAGACATAGTCAGCTCAAAGAAAGATGAAAACCTCATAGAAAATGCTTCATCATCATATTTGGCAGAAATTAAAATAGAAAAGTTTCTGACAGACAAAGCTGGCACATGCTATATTAGAGAATTCTGTCTCATCTAGAGGGTTCCTGCAGTTAGGAAAACAAAAAGAGCCAGCCTGAACTGTGGAGAATTAAATGAAGAGAAGAACCTAATGAAATACTAGAAAAATCCAGCACAAATTTATTATTTATAAAAGTATAAGGCGTGGTAAATAGTGTAAATTTGTACCTGCATATGCTTAGCAACTGAAAAATAAAAGGGTGTGAGCAACATTTTTAAACATATTATGAACAGATAATTCCTTCAACAATATAGTTTAAATACAATCATGGCAGAGTGTTATGGGGCTTGTGCTTCTCTTTGCAACAGCTAAAATGATCCAAGCATGTCTGCGCAAAGACAACTGAGTGTATCACCTCAGTTCCAAGCACTCCTTCTAGACAATGAGAAATGTACTAATGATTTCTAAAACACTTCCCACCTAATACACTAGAACACACTTTGTAATGGAAAATTCATTCTAAGATTTTCAAGCTAATAGTTTGTTTTCTTCAACAGTAGTATTGTTGGACTCTGGCTCCAGAACTGAACTTCATCCAGCTGAAATAAGGTAAAAATCAGTATTCACTTTGTGCAAGGGAAATTTAAATCCTGCTAGGGAAAAGACAATGTAAATAAAATGCTATGAATACTTTAGTACTTAAGCACTAACTTCAAAAACAGTGAAAAATTCACAAGTTGACACTCTGAAGGTTTGGATTACATACATTCCTTGCATATTCTACTTGAATACTAGTTACATGCTAACAGCTATCATGCACACATTATTAATGCTCAGCTGTAGACATATGGGAGAAAACTTTCGTATAAATTTTATTAATATTTATTAAAGGTTATTTGTTCTTAAAGGATGAAACCAATCCCATGTTAGCCCTTTTCCTTAATATTGTGCATGTCCACATTGCATGTCGAATATAATAATAAAGATAATGCTTAAACCACACTGATACCTATAGTCTGTGTGCCATGCTCCCTAGTTGACAAATTCAATGAACTATATTGCCACCCTCCCCATAAGACTCTATTTGCCAAACCTGGCATTTTAAAAGTAAGACAGACAGATAAGAGGTCTGTGTCAATTCACACTAACAGAAGGACAAATTTCAAAAGTCTTAACACTGTGGCACTCAGATCATACAAGTTTTTCTGCTAATTTCACGAAAAGCAAGTCTGTGTGCATTGATGTTATATGAACAAAATAGTTCTGCCAATGTAAGGGCTCAGTCTTTGCACTTACAGTCTGCAGAACTTGCCCACTGCTAAATGCTATATTGGGATTAACCAGCACAGCCCACTGTAAATTGGTTTGTTTGCTTGTTTTTAATTTAAACATGTTAACAAGGTCTGAAAGCTTGGATTATTACTGCCAAAGCTCTAAGAAATGTCCACTTTGAAAAACTGTGGAGAGTTTTTAGAAAGAGGCTATAAGAAAGTAACAGCGAGATCTTGGTGAGATAGATGTACCAGTAACAGCCTCGTGATGCTCCCTTTGGTAAAAGAAGTCACTTAATAGTGATGCATAACAAAGGCAATTTCTTGCATCTGGAAGAAAGTTAAGTTTCATAATATCTCCTCAAACCAGGAAAAAGGCTCTAAAACAATATATTTAACCTGAAAACCACCACACATCCAAAAGAGAATAATTTCTCATCATGCCAGTATTCCACAAGAACATTCCACAGTTTGTGGATTAATAAACAGTTATTACACTGGAAGATTTTTACAGCTCCAACAGAATTTGATGGAACAATTGCAGATGATGGGTTCCTATGCCTTGGTTTTAAAAAAAAACAAACAAGTTTTATACAGGATATATTCAACCAACAGCAACACACAGTGTAGCAAGTAAAATGCTAGGTATAGCTTGTGTAAACTATAAGAAACTAAGAGACAATTTTAGAAGAGTACACCTGTGTCTAAATGAAACTATGGAAAAAACATTCTTGCAAATATCAGCTGCTATTACATTGTTCTAAAGTATCTTTAGCATTATAAAAACTGGTGTAACACAAGCACCTACTACATGAAACTTGCAAGAAGTGAACATTTCTCATAAGAAGCTTAAAAGACATTAGGGCTTCACCATCTCTGAAATCTCATTCCAGTTAGACACCTTAGAGAGGAAGGCTGCTGGTAAAGAGGTCTTGCAAAACCTTGAGGTGCTCCCTCAAACCCGAGGTGATCTGAAACAATTACAGGTTTGCCTTCTAACATGTATTTTGCCTAAGTCTACAACCATACTTAATATCTTACAACAAAAAAATAAAATAAATAAAAATAAAAGAAAAAAAGAAAATACTGAGACAGGACAGAAAAGAGTTCGTAGTCTGAACATCATCACCTGCCATCCCTCATCTTATTTAAAACTGTGTTAAGATCGAGCGTTTTCTGACAGCGACATGACATGAAGCCGCACACTGCCGCAGCCTGCCACCCCTCCCGCAGCCGCAACCCTGCGTCCGTGCCCGCTCTGACCGACCTCGCCGCACAAGTTTAGGGGGAAAGGGGCAGTATGTGGCATTTAGATGCTAGGCGAGGTTTACTGCTCAGGCTGTTACGCCAGTCCGGCGTTACGGGAACAGGCTCCCTTCCCTCCCCGACACCAGGTACAGCCGCGCACTCCGCGCCCGCCGCCCCACAGCCGCTCGCAGCGCTGAGACGCCGGAGACGCGTCCCGCCGCCGCCTCTGCTCGCACCTGCCCGCTCGCTCCCACCCACTGCCACGGGCAGTGCAAGGCAGCGCGGTCAGGGACGGGCGCGCAGCCCGCGGCAGCGCGGCCGGGGCGCGCCGCCTCCCCCGCGGCGCGCAGCGCTGAACCGCGCGGCGCGCTGCGCCCTCCCGGCGCAGGGCGGGCGGCCGGGAGCACCCACCGGGGATGGCCAGGTTGGTGAGCGGGGTGCTGTGGAGGCTGCCAGGCAGCGCTGCCATCCAGTCGGCGAAGAGCAGCTCGTTCTTCCCTTGCGACGAAGCCATGCTGCCGCCGCAGCCGTACCGGCGCCGCCGCTCGCTCCAACTCGCCCAGTCCCGGCCACGGCCACCGCCACCGCCACCGCCACCGCCACAGCCTCGCCGAGCCCGGGCCCCGCCCGCCTGGCACCGCCTCCCCCCGCCCCGCCGAGCCCCCGCCGCCTCCCCGCGGCGCGGCGTGAGCGCCCTCGGGGCCGGCGCCGAGCGCGGCGCGGCCGGACGGCGCGGCACGGCACGGCTCGCTCGGCCCGGGCGCTCGGGAGGCGATCCCGCCCCGGTACCGCGGGGGTGTGGGCACGGAGCGGCGTCACGGCCCGGCCGTGGCGGGTCCGCAGCGCCCCGGGCCGGGCCGCGGGGCCGGCAGCAGAGCCCTCTCCGGGAGCGCGGGGCCGCCGCCGGCCGGGCGGCTGTGCCTGAGGTGGCGCTCGGGGCCCCGCTGGCGGCCGGTGGCCCCGGGCTTCAGCAGAACCTCCGTGACCTTGACGATGGTTCGGCTGAATGCTCCGCGCCAGAACCCGACATCCCTCGCAGCAGGCTCCTGGGCATTTTCATCTGCCCCTGATACGAACGAATCTTTTTGCAGTGGGTTTTCACACGAAAAAAAAAAAAATCAGTGCACCTTAGCTGAACGTGCCCTGGAGATCTAATTTCTTGGCAATAATTTTTTATTCTTCTTTGAAGATGATCCAAAGTAGTATCTTCTATTATCATCTCCAGCCTGTCTTTGGAGAAACATCTTAGCGTTGGCAGTAAGGAAGCATTTGTGTGGATGGATGAATGAATGAACCTTGTAAAGCCCTCTGAGCCATTTTGAACTGTTAGAACAAATGTGGTCTTTTCACCTTCAGTGTTTGTGAAAGTTGTTTATACATGTGTAGAAGTTCATATGGTGGAGCTGTCAAAAACAGTGCCTAGAGACACCCATGATTGAGGCAGATTCACTTTATCAGCTCACCCTGGAGTCTTACGAGGGTCAGCTCTGGTTCTGTAGCTTGTGTTCTTACTCAAACCCTTCTGTAACAGCTGGGTTTGAAAAACTTCAAGGAACAACTAATAACAGCCCTGTCTTCTCTTTCTGTCTAAAGTTTCCAGAGCAAGTATGATGAGAAACTTATCCTTTGGCCACAATTTCTTGAAAAGTGAGTGACTATTTCAGAAGTATTTAAATAAAAGAAATTTTGCTGATTCACTTTTTGTAATGGAAATAGCTCTTGAGGTGGGATTTGACTGGGGAAATGTGATCATATGGTTGACCTTAGGGGAGATGTTGAGTCTTATTTGAACAATATGTGAAAAAGAGGGAGGAGAAAACAAACAGCCACCAAGACCTGTTAAGTTTTTGCGGTCCTGCATCCTGTGTGTGAAGATGCTAATCTGCCCCTTCCAAAATCAGTGGTATTAGCAAGCATTAAAAAAAAAGACAAATCCACATTCTGGATATGAAGACATAAACCTCACTAAAAACATGGAAGATATTATTCATATAAAGGTGGAAGTTGCTACATTACATCATCTTCAAAGAATAGAAGAAATTTTAGTAAAAATGTCAAGATTTTTAAAGAGCATTCCAGTAAGGCGCAATTAATGTTTCTATCAACATGATTAAATGAAATCAGATTTTTTATTTAAGGAGCAAAGTTGTTTATGAATTGCACTAGTCACCTGAAAAATTGCTGATGAACTTTCATCTATTTCACTATGTTGCCTACCTTTTCTGAGAGAAAATTGAAGTATACATCTTTATGAAAGATTAAATATGTTGCTAGTGCTGTTGTTGATCTCTTATGGTCTCTGAAGCTTTGGGGATAACTCAGAGCAAAATAAAATAAATACCAGCAAACTCATCATTTTAAAATGTATTAATATGCATAATAATTAAAACTACATTTCAGTAGTGCTTTCTACTCTGATGAAGACCTGTAAATATCCCTCTCTGTACCGACTTGAAACTTGTTGACATTTACTTCTGCCAGTAATTTGGGCTTTTGTATCTTATTTTTTTTTTTTTTATGCCCAAAGTAAGATTCTTCATAGTCAGGATTTTAAAACCATGGATACTCTGCTTCATGAAAACTGGCCCACTCTAACGTGTCTCACACAAATCACACTTGAAGAGGTCTGCCTCTGTTTCTAGTGCAATGTAACTGCTAAGATAGCAGGCTTAAATTCTGTCATTGAGTCTCTAGGAACTTGGGAATCACACGCTTAAATAATTTTAAGGGAGGTGGGATAGGAGACTTTTATGGGACAGAAAGTGAGAAACATTTACAGAGCAAACTAAGAAACACTGACTTGGAAGCTTTGACTTCATATGAAAAGGTATTTTTTTTAGCTTTTCAGTGATATGAAAAGCATTTTTCTGTGTATCTGCTTGGGAAGTGTTTAATAAAAAAAAGGCAAACCATTTATCTCGATTAAATAGCAGCTTATTGTGGCTTAGTTTGAACTGTCATTTGACTAATTTTCACTGACTTATAAAAAATGATAGCCTGTAAATCAAAGGCAGAATATCCATACAAGCTTTTATTCCTATTTAAAAACAGTAAGAAACAAATAAGTCACATTTTTTGCTATATTATTGAAAACCTTACACATAGCAAGTCTGAACTGTTAAAGAAAGTAGATTCCAGGAATGAAAAAATTTAAAACCTTAAAAATATCAGGTAAAATGAAAATTAAAAGCAAGATACAAGATACAAGAAAATACCATCTTTGCTCTTTTATTAACAGCTATGCTGAGCTCACTGAAGATGCCATGAAGAGATGAAAACTTGAAATTGTGCTAGCTGTTCATCATGTACTGTGTTCTCTCCAGTCTGCAGTGTGTATGAAAAAAGACACCTTTGCTTCCATGGAGTGGCAAAATAGAGTAATTTAGCCAATAGGAATGTTGCTTCAGCATTCAAAACTTGTTACACTGTTAAAAAGAAATTACTGTTGTTTTTATTCTCCTAAAATATGGCATTTTAACAGTATAGATTCACTGTTACACTTTTTCATTTCAGCAATCACATAGTTTGCTTTTTCATATGTCCTTGGCATCTATTTTAATCATGTGAATAACAAAGGACTAACAAGATCTTTTTCTGTAAGTTACGTAAAGTATATTCCACCATGAAAGGTAAAAGAAAAAATTACTTAATGGGGCATTGTATTTCTGTGACTGTCCTATTATAGAGAAAATTTATTTAATTATTTTAACTATATTGTTAATGAATTCAAAATAAGTCTTGGAAATGAAGAATTAGTATTGTTTAAATATTTGGAATTCTTGAGTGGATTCTGCTTCTGATGTTGCTTTCTTCCTCCTTCTTACTACTCATTTCTATTATTAGTTTTTCAGAACAAATCCTGATTGCCATCCCATGTTTGCATCTGTCATGGCTTTCAGTGACTCTATCAGTAACATTTGGGCAGTAAAGCCCTTGCAGTTGTTTGCAGCTGAGTTGCTAATTATATTTTTGTTACCTGGGAAGACAGCGGATCTACAATATTCTCAGTTTTGCTATTTCCCATGACTAACAAGTGGGACAAGTACATAAAATCTCAACTTCCAATGGCTAACAAGTGGGACAAGTACATAAAATCTCAACTTCCCATGGCTAACAAGTGGGACAAATACATAAAATTTCAAAGAGTCAAAGTAGATTGATTGAATAATTTATTCAATAGCCATATGGGTGAATAGAAGTTGTGACAGGTATTTTGTTGTCATTTTATACTTTGTGGGGCTACTTTGAGTATCTCATCCTAGATTCATTAAGCAATCTCTGTTTAGCAGTATTTGTCCTGTCAAAACAGATTAAAAAATTCCCCAGTAGTCAGAAACCTCGCAGAAACAGGAAAATAGGTCTTTCTTCATTTTATGTGAAATAATAAATCTGTTTCTGATTTTCAAGCAGAAGAAAATGTGGTTTATTCTGTACTCTGATTTGTTATTTTCTACTAAGAAAACCGGAGCATCCTTGCTTGTGCCAGTAATGAATCTGAGAAGAACAATATTTGTTCCAAGCAGCTGACAAATGGCAGGATGATGCTAATATTATCCCACTCTCTTGTGGTAAATTACATTGACTGAGAAGATGATGGGTTAATATAAAGGTACAGCACATGTTTTTACTTGTATACTTTATAACCAAAGAAAAGACATTACAAAAATATACAGAAAACTAAATAATTAAAGTGCATAACAAGACAGTTCGTTTTAGTTAACCAAATTCTGGAAGTTTGAAATAAACAGGATAAAAGGCAAATTAGAGTATTTATATCCAGTCCTCAGGTGGAAATCAGTTTCACCTTAGCTACTTCTTTCTGAAGTGTGTTTTCCAGGCTTCTGGAAGAAGGTTTGTTTTGTCTTTTTCTTTTTTAACTTTGTCAAGCAGAATACTGCTAAGTCTCACCTAGCATCAAAGTACACTAGTGGTTACTTTTTTACTTGGTTAAAAACAAAGAGGTTTGGTTGTGTTGGCATTACTGAAAAGACTCTAATGGCATTATCAAGAACAGCAGCGGCAGAACACGAAAAACCCGGTTTTCTCAGAGCCAGTGCTATCAGATCACAGCAAAGTATGCAAATTTGGTGCAGGGAAAGGTGAGAAAGAGATTGCTTTTTATTTTTAGACCAACTCAGCCATGTTTAGAACATTTCTGGAGAAGTTAATGAACATTTTACCAAAACAGTATTGTCATGGTCACAAAACACCTTATCAACATGAAAATATCCACCTTTAGCTTAAAAAAGTGTGAAAGACCCAAACCAGCCTCTCCTCTGCTATGTTTCCCAGTCATGTCAAAAAGGAATGAGAAGTTTTTTGAGGCAGTCAGATACTTCATGACTCTACATAGTTTTGTCAGAAAACACAGCCCTTTGCATGAATACAAAATTTTGAAGAGTTTAACTAAAATATTCACTAAAAAGTAATGATAGACAAAACATTCCAGAAGATTGTTTGGATGATGTCAGGTCTGCCTGGGGATTGTAATTAGCACAGACAAATTAAGAATGTTCAAGGCAGGGTAAATGCTGTTAAAAATGCAAGACCAAACCAAGTGAAATAAAAAATGTATTTCCATTGACTATATATTGTGTTATCACATAGTGGTAAATAAAAACATGTCCATGCGCAGAAAAATCAGTGAAAGTTGCAGGAATTAAATGGATGAGATAATCAGAAGTAGATAATTCTTGCAGGATTTTACAATGGACCACCATAAACAGAAAATGCACTCTGCTTTTTTGTGTAAACTATTTAGGATGTAGTTCAGAACTACCATGCATGGTATTTAGAAAGGAGAGAAAAGAGGATAATACTATTTCTAAGTAGACATTAAAGTTATTTTTAATTTGTCAAGGTATGGAAATTAATTGCTATAAAAAGGAACACTAGTTTTACAACTGTTTCTTTGCCATCAAGATGTTTACAGTGGCATTTTGTAATGGATCCTGGATTTGACTAGCAGCAGATATGTACTATTACATATTTCCCATCTCTTTGCTGTATGATTACTTTTAAAAGAGTAAACATCTGTCAAACAGTTACTGATTTGTAGTAAGTGTTTTTTGAAAACATTCTAAAAGAAATGGGAACTTCATTAAATGAGAAAATAATGAAAGCAAATAAATGTATAATGACTGCTTAAGCAATGAGTATTAGACGATAATTAAGTATTTTTATTTCTGTGCCTTTTGGAGAATAGTCCAAAATCAGTGAGATGATGAAAATGCTCCACTGAATTTGGATCTCTTGGATGTAAAACTAGTATCAGTTGGTTAATAGCTGATGTGCCTACTGCACTTATATCCTAAGCCACTGGAGATGAAAAGTCTTTTCTCTTTTTAAATAGGAGAGATGATGGATGACACAGAAGACTTTTCAACAGGAGGTGCAGTGTGTTAATAGTGGTCACTTATACTCTTGGCAACTGAAATCATGTTTAATGAAAGACATATGTCTGCATCCCAGATGAGGCATTCCAAACAAGCTCTTGCTGTGTGCATGGTAATGAAGCACTCCCAAAAGGTGTTGAAAATAGTCAGCAGGACTGATAAGATTTTTAGCACATGACTCTAATCAGCATGCCAACCACATTTCACCAGCTGCAGTTGGTGCCTGCTGAATGGATGAGGGGTCATGTTCCTTTCTAATTAAATGCACCTCATGATCAGTGAGTGATGCAGTTGTTTCAGCCTGGCATTTGCAAGTTGGGTAGTACAGGGTGCAGGGCAGTGTCTCAACCCCAAACAAAAAGGTGGTGCATCAGATGTCTCTAGGGAAACAGGTTAGCAAAAATGCTAGAGAAAGAGAGGTGACAATTACATGTAAGAAGAAAGCTTTTGCATGGTCTACTCTTCCCCACTCCACTTTGTGATGTGATGGAAACTACATGGTTATTACTCAAGGTGCAGCAACCTAAAACTTCTCACCTGAAGCCAGGGATTTTAATTTTTCTAGTGCAAGAAAATAGGGTGAGAGAGAATAGGAGATAGAACAGCAGAGTGGAAGGAATCCCCCAAAAGCATGGAGAAAGTTGATATCCAAAGGTGGTGGCATCACTAAGAGCTTAGAAATCAAGTTCTGGGATTTATGTCTGCCCCTGGACATTCATTCTCAGGGACAACGGAGTGGAGGAGCCAGTCTTGCTTTTCCTTTGGAGAATGTATATTCCACTGCCATCTAAATCCTGTTTTTTCTGGATTCATCTCCACATCCCACTGCTTTGAGTTGTTGCCTCACCCTTGGACGTCATGGCAAATTAAATTACACACCTAAGACTTTAATTTCATGACTGCGCTGTACCTAGTGAACCATTCCAAAAATCTGTAAATATTTCTAGCTAGAAATATCAGTTTCTAAAAGAATTCTCTGCCTTCTGGACTGGGCTTTAATTGCTGTTCATCGCACCTTGCTACTTGCTAAAAACAGTTTCATTAAATTCAGTGCAGCTCAGGATTATCAAGATAATTAAGTTTGCAATGATCCATATGACACGGAGTGAATAAAAGCTATCGGGAATTTCTAATATGAGCACAATCCCCTTAAGACTAAAATCCATTATTCTTTGCAAAATTAACTCAAACATTTTAGTGTCTAGGCCACAAAGTATTTTCCCAATTTTCTAGGGGGAAAAATTGAGATTACATAGGCTGGGGGATTAAATAGGACCAGAGGCTTTCCCCCAGGTAACCAACAGGCACCATAAACCAATGCAAAGGACAGAAGATGCAGTCTTGCTCTGGCCAGCCTCCTTCATATGCTCATCAGCAGGAAGGAGAGCCTGCAATTCACCCTCCAATGTGCTGCATATGCTGCATGATTCCAGCAGCTCATAAAGGTTGCAGCTTTAATACATTGTTTCTGACAACCTGACAATATTTTAGCAGTGTTCTCCCATTTTAACCCTTTTTACTCTTTTTCATTTAATACAGTAATTTAGTAATCAGAATAATGCCTTCATCCACTGAAGTACCTACTATGGTTATAGTCTAACAAAGAGGGTTTCAGCACCTGCTTTTTGAGATTCAAGATGAAGTCTGGTTGTGTTTTCTTGATGTCCTAAGTCCTGTTGAAATATACATATTGGTCAAATTAAAAATCTTTGGACATGGACTAAGTCAAATAGGGCCAAGTGAAGATGGATCCCAGCAGCACACCAGAGTGGGGACGGGGCCATTTGAGATAAGCAGCTGGAGGAAACACCAGTGCTTGCAACCTTGCCGAGGACTAGCGTGGAGCTGGAATGCTCTTTCTGCCTTATCCCAACAACAACCACTGCAAGCACTGTGGGTTATCCACTATATATTTATTTAAGGGAGGAGGGTTACTCATCAAAAGTAGAGTTTAAATTCCAAGGCTCACTTGCAAATCCAGAGCATTAGCCAGATGATCAAACAAAGCTCCAGTGCTTCCCACAATAGTGCTGGGCAGCTCCTTTCCTTGACACATAGACTGAACTCAGCAGACCATCACTTTGCCTTAATATATGTCTGAGTTGTTGTGGGTTTTTTTTCAGATACTCAGTTTGCTGATTACAAGTTTTAAGGCAAATAGAGAAAAGCAATTCTTTATAGAAATAGGAATGTCCTGTCCTATCCACAAACCAGCTGCTTTAACATGTGCTTTGCAAGGGCTGGACAGGTCAGAGCATGACTGTGCTATAATGTGCGGCATCTGCTCTTCTTCACATTGGCTCCAGGCCCTGTGGAGATTAGTGGGGGCTCAGCCAGACAGGCCAATGATAAGCAAAAGAATTCTGCATGAATCTGTACAGACATACGAACCTCACTGAAATATTCTTTCTTGTGTGTGTGAAGCAACAGATTTCCAATTTTTGCTGCTATGGAAAACAGAAACTTAACCATTGAGCATGCTGTTTTCATTCACCTGGGGGAGATCTAAGGTATTTTTCTCATGGTGATTAATAGCTTTGTAACTCACCAGTGCCTGCAAAGGCACTGTGAAACAAAGAAGGCTTAGATGGAGTTGGAGGAGAGGAAGAAGCTGGAGATGAAAGCCATGTTTAGTTTCATTACTCTGCAGACTAAAGAAAAAATCTTTCTGAGCAGAGCACAGTGGCAGAACATAACAAAGTATTTATTATTGCATTTAATTAGTGCTCAGTTCAATTTGAAGATTGTTAAATAGCCTTTTGTTTTCACAGGATTCTTTTTTGGTTGGAGTGTGGTGCAGTTCTGTGTAAGTCAACAGATTTCTGCAAGTATATGTATGTAATCATGTCAAAATCAGAAAACATGTATTTATGAGTAGAAGAAAATATACATTGATTCGAGGTATAAGTATTCTGTTTGAAATCTCTGTGTAGAAATTATTCAGCAGCAGCTGAATTGTAAAGGTAGAATGCCAAAGTCTCCTCACTGTTGTGTTAAGTTTATACCATCTGAGAAACATGAG